GCTAACCATGTACTTTGAACATTCCTCTGTCATTCACTTATCACACTGAGAATATTAGTATTCATAGTACTACTTCTGTATCTGTCTCCCTCATAAAGTACAAGGCCCTTGAGGATAACAACACTCTCTTATTTATCCTCAGCACCGAATTCAATGACTAGCACATAGTAAATGCTCAGATGAGTGATAGAAAAATACATAGACTAATATTTGAAAAATTAAAGAAGTGGCAAAGGCAATCCTCCATGTATTCATGTTTGCATCATCAGAGGCAACACTTCCAATTCTACTCCCCTTTAAATTACAAACGTCTGCACAAAGACACTTGGGCTTCCTTCAGCATATTAGCTAAGAGTGCATGTGGCTGCACAACTGAAAACCCGAGTGATCAATTTAAACAAGTAACGGTTTATTTTCTCACATAAGAAGTCGAAAGAAAGTGGCTGCTGATGTTGATTCAGTGGTTTGCCATTATCAGAACTCTAAAATTCTATGAAATTATCACCTCAAGACGTTTCCTAAAAGCTCTGGAGATAATTCCAACAAAATGGTAAGGAAGAGGGTTCCAGCTACATCTGCCTCCTCCCCAGACTTCTGCTCATCTCTCAACAGCCAAAACCAAGTCACATGATCAGGGGAGATGTCTCACCCCCAAAGGTGTGGGAGGTTGGTGAGCTGGAGGGAAATTATTCTGACTGACTTGGGCCAGGCATGATCCATCACTAGGGCTGGACACATTGCCTCCCAAACCAAATCAGAGTTCTCTTGGTAAGAAAGACAGGAGAACTAGATATTGAGCAGACAGCTAAAGCATATGCGGATTCAGAAAATATCTCAGTGCTTTAAAAATAAAGCATTACATCAGAATGCACAAGAATCAACATTCACCTCTCACTGTGAATCTTAAGGTTTCTCCTCAAAGACCCAGTGAACATGCCGTCAGGTGCCCTCCTGACTGCCCCATCGCCAGGACTGAGGCTAAGGCTGCGCCTTTGCAACAGTGACCCCACTATGCATTCCTCCGAAACAGGAAACTCACCCACATATACTCAAATTCTGATTTTATGATATTACAACAATCAAATATCGTGTTCATTCAAGGAGCATCTCTGGAAAGATGCCAATACACGGCTGGTGGGAGTGTAAACTGACACCAGCATTTTGAAAGGCAGTTTGACATTTTCTAGTAGTTCTGAATTTATACCCAGGACTTGATTTATAGAGGTATGACTAAGTGATGACACAGAGAAGCTAATGCCACTGTGGAATTTATTACTTCATTTCTCAAGAGAAGGGAGCACATTCACCACGCAGGACCACGTGGGAGGCATCAGGATGGTCAGGAGGCAGAAGACAGGAGCTAGGAGAAAGCTGGGGCCACAGCCTTTATCAGGGTTTCCTTGAAAAGGGAAGGCAGGGCAGAGTAAACAGCTTCGGATGAGCTAGTTTGAACAGTCTCTGTCAGCCCTTGGGTTACAGGGGTGGTCTCAAGTTGCCTGAAACTTGGCTCTGGGATAATTGAGGGCAGAAGAAACATTGGTTTGGTAAGTGAGAGTTTGATAAGGAGGTGGTTGGGACTATAGATCCTGGATTGGTTGGCTTGTATACGAAAGTATGCTCTTGGCCAAGCCCTTTGCAATCTCTATGAACTGGCTCACCCTGGGGGGCAGCATCTCCCTGGGTCTGAAAGGCTTCCAAATGCCAGAGAAAAAAGGATACAGAAAACAAGAAAAAATAGTTAATATAATCCTGTGATGAGTGGATGCCAAATAGACACACACAGAACACTAGTCAAGTTGAAGATATATATCTCTATGATGCAGCAATTCCATTCCTACATAAAAACTCTAGAAAAATACATGCACCGGGACACATATCCAAATGTTCATACCAAGTGGGGTAAATAAATACCCAGTGGGAGTGGGTAAATGAACTGTGGCATATTCATACCCTAAGGATGAATATTCATACCCTGGGATGCTAAATGGCAATAAAAACAAATCAACTAGAGATGCACTTAACATGAATGCAGCTCATAAACAATGTGGAGTGAAAGAGACGAAGATACAAAACAATATCTTGTATGTGATTTTCCTTATCTAAAGTTTCAAAGCAGGCAAAACTACACTATCATGGGTAGGCATACAGAGGCGATCAAACTGTAAGAAAGCTGTGATCACCTTACAAGTCAGAGTAGAGAGCTTTCCTCTGCGAGAGAAAGGGTTGTGTGGGGAAAGTAAGATGAGGGTTTCTGGGGTACTAATGATGTTGCATCCTTTCAAATAACGGTGTTCATAATTTTTATACTAGACTTTTCTGTATGTATGCTATATTTAATGATCTTTAAAGGTGTAAAAGAAAAGCATGACATAGTCATTAAATGTCATTTGTTAGGTAAAGAACCTTCCTTTATCAGTATAAAGCCTGCTGCTGTAGTAGAAGGGTACAAAAGTATACAGTCTTTTTCTGGTACACAATGACTACTGTAGCGTAAAATATATGCTTATGAAAAATAAATTGACTGGGTATTTTTTTTTTTGATGCCCCTAAATTCTCACATTGTCTTGTCTGCCTGGAGCCAGGCCCTCAGAAACGTGGTTGCCAGTGTTTGCATTCTCCCTCCTGGGGTCACCTCTTCCACAGAGGCAAGTATGAAAGCTGTTTCTGGAAGCCAGCATTGACTGCCATTATGACCATATATAATTTTTTATATTTTTCAAGTAAGGAGGAATTATAAACTTCCTTGAAGTTGGGAGGCAAAGAAATGCATCAAGGATAATTACATCCTGCCTGCTTCAGTGCCCCCTGTGGCTGCAGTTGGATATGGTGCCCCTTCTTCATTTCCCGTCCTAAACCAGTGTGCGCTGCTGATCCGTGTATGAAACAGCTGCCAGGGCCCTCCGTAGGCAGCTGCTTTTGGAGGTTGTGTGAAATGAGTCTGATATCCCTGGCGCCTCAGCACCTTGGCTCTAGGGTCCATGATATGCTTCAGTGTACAGGTAAAAATTACATGCTCAGAGCTTGAGATTTGCTTTTGGCTGCTTATTTCGTAAGCACCAAAGATCAGCATTTTATGGGGAAGCTCATGTTCTCAGCAGGGGAGGGGGTTAAGGGGGTTATCTAATCAGCCGGGTGGCTTGAATTTTGCCCTTGAACCAAAGCAGGGAGCAGGGGAGATATGAGGCAATACCAGGACCACTCTGAAATCTTGATGAAAAATCCAATTGCATAGCCAAGTGCATTACTCTGGCTGGAGTTGGCAAGATGCCTAAAAGGTAAAATGCTGAAAGTAGGGGCACTTCGGTAAAGGTTTTTCTGTTTTGTTTTGTTGTTGAATTTCTGGAAAAAATTTACTTAAGCTATTAGATATTGTAGTGTTAAAGTGAAGAAGGGTTTTGTTAGAAGAGAGACAGAGAAATCTGCTAGGAAAACAAAGAAAGGAATATACAGGGAAAGAGATTTAAAGAGAGACAGAATATGAAGAAAAACAGAGATGGAGAGAGTTCCTAAAAGCAGAAACAAACTGAAAGACAGAGGAAGACAGTGGACAGGAACTTTCCTTGCCTTTGTTCATTCTGGGGGGTTAATGTGTGAGTCAGAACTCTTTGCACTCTCCAGGTTAGTACCGTACTTAAACCCATTTAATTACTGTGACTGATTGCATTCTTACCACCAAAAACCTTGTTCTCACTTGCCCTAACTACTAATGGATTATAAATAGGGCCTTTAAGAAAGAAACCAGGTTTGATGTGGACTGTGTTTACCTGTGTTAATGACATGCTGGAGAAATAGATTAGCTGCTGTCTCCCCATGACACTGCACCATGATTTTACCACTCACCTGGCCTGGCCCAGTCCAGTGGGACAGAGGGCACTACCCTGACCATACAAATCCGGGCTTTTACCATCAAAAGAAACATCTCCAGTGAAGGAGAGCATTTATAGCAGGACAGAAAGAGCTCCAGTTATTGTTTGGTAAGCAGTTAGATCCTAGGGGACTCTTCCAGGCAATGAGCAACTTCAGCTGGAAATAACTAAACAGCTCTAAAGGGAAGGGGGTAGGGGGAGGGGAAGTAATGAGCTCCAAGCCAGGAAAGAGTAATAGCATAATTAACTCCCCCGTGGTCTCACTGATGGTGCAGCAGTGCTGTCCAACCCTCTCAGCGCTTCCTCTTCAGCTAGAATTAAAGTTTAATTCCGTCTCAAAAGGGCATTAGGAAAAAAGCACTGCACAGTACAACAGGAAGAAATCAATGAACTTTACAGAGAAAAGATTACAATGTGGCTGCTCCTGCCTGCACGGTTTGCAAAGTAGGCTGACTTTAAGGTGCAACTATTGGATCATCTGAAGTAGACTGAAGGAAGTCTAAGTCTGGGCCATTTGGGAAAGGAAAAGATGGAAATATCTGCCTGATGCCTGGAGAAGCTATTTGTTTTGACTACTACTGCTGCTATTTTCCTTAAGGTTGGAGCTCACAGGACTGTGGAAAATCAGTGCCCTGAGCTGTGAAAATATTTTCTTCAAGGAACTGAGAGGCCCTGTGCTTTGGTCCCTGCATGCCTTTTTGGGTGTTCTGTGCTCAAGACAGGGAAACCTACTATCAGTGGCCTCTCTCCCGCATTTAACAACCACCGCAGGTCATCATTAATACCTCCTCCTCTATTCAGCAAAAATATTTCTATCAATAATTGGAAATAAAATTTAAAAATAATGTGGCCAGGAAAGGCAGTGAAAATTTTTCTTTACTGTATTGTTATGCATATAGTCTTGCAAGAAAAAAAAGGAAGAAAGAAAGGGAGGGAAATGTATTATATGTACATAACAGAGAAAGACACAACCATTTATTCAAGAGTTTTATATCCACCTTACAGCATGAGCTGTAATCCTTTCTTTACAATATATTATTTTATATAAAGAATTGTCCAATGACTTCTAAGTAAATTTTAATAAAACCAAAATGTCTACAAAAAATACAAGTCAGGCAGCTATTAAATCAAGCAATTGTGGTAATATTTTATTTACTGGCTTTATTTAGCTTTAAAAGAATTATAATTTTAAAAGAAGAGTGCATTTCCATTTTAAAGCTATTATTTACATTCAGTAAAATATTTTATGTAAAGGCCAGGTGCAGTGGCTCAGTCCTGTAATCCCAGCACTCTGGGAGGCCAAGGCAGGCAGATCACCTGAGGTCAGGATTTTGAGACCAGCCTCACCAATATGGAGAAACCCCATCTCCACTAAAAATACAAAATTAGCCGGACATGGTCACATGTGCCTGTAATCCCAGCTACTCAGGAGGCTGAGGCAGGAGAATCACTTGAACCAGAGAGGCAGAGTGAGCCTAAATCGCAACAGTGAGCCTAGATCATGCCGTTGCACTCCATCCTGGGCAACAAGAGTGAAAGTCTGTCTCAAAAAAAAAAAATGTATTTTGTGTATGAACTAAAAATTTGCACTTAACAAGAATTTCATGCCACACAAATTTTCAATATTTTATCATTTCAAATTTTAAACAGAAACACTCAAAATATTCACCTAGAGTGTCAGAAATGAGGTAATTCAAGTTCTGTTTCCTTGTCTTTTGCAATCATCGTTTTTTTTCAAATCTGTAGGAATATTTAGCATAATAAGCACGGAAGAAACAAACGTCAGGCAACAGGAGCTCAAAGGATTCCAAGCCATTATGAACTGACCCTTCAAATAAACACTTACTTTCACATAACCAGGAAGTGTCTGGATTAACTTCTATATAAGACATATTTATTAAAAGGTAAATAATTAACATGTACTGATTTGAAGCCTCTATATAGCATTAAAACAACAGTAACCACAGCTGTTGTTAAACATTTAGATCATTTGTCAGGGAGGAGTTTTTATTATGACATTATTTAGAAATGGGGGTACACGGTGCCAGTAGAAAACAGATCTCAGGGGCTGCTTGCGGTATTTCAGGGGGCCAGGAGTGGTGGCTCAAGTCTGTTATTGTAACACATTGGGAGGCCAAGGTGAGTGGATTGCTTGAGCCTAGGAGTTCAAGACCAGCTTGAGCAACATAGTGAGCCCACATCTCTACAGAAAATACAAAAATATGCTGGGCATGGTGGTGCATGCCTCTAGTCCCAGCTACTCGGGAGGCTTAGGTGGGAGGATCACTTGAACCTTGGGCCACTGCACTCCAGCCTGGGCAAAGGGAGTGAGACCATGTCTCGGGGAAAAAAAAGCAGATCCCATTTTAGTTGATTCATCATTGTTTTTCAATTCTTTACAGATTTGCACCCCTATCGCTGGCACTGAGTGGAGGTCCCCATGCCATACCCTGCCGGTGGTACTCTTCTGCCTGTTATTCTCAACCATTACCCCAGAGCCATGGAGAATCTCAGCAATGCAGCCTAGGGCACCTCCGATAACATCTGACCAGAGTGAGAGAGAAGAAAAGCACGAGGCAGGCATCTCATTTATGGAAGTGTTCCTCTGGCTCAAGGCCTCTGCCAATAATTTTCATGCACAATGGCCTTTTCATTCTCCCCAACAATTCTTCAAGGGAGGGGTGATAATCCCAGGATTTGGAAGTAAGGAAAAGCAGACTACAAGAAGTTAAGTGACTTCCCCAATGGCCCACTCCTCATAAATGGTAGGATCAGGATTAAAACTCAGCTGAGGTTGCCCAGGAATGAGGTTTGGTTTACCTCCTGAAAGTGATCACCATGGAAAATGGCCTGGAGTTCCCTGGCTGCATATAAATGCAGGAAGACATGCTAAGGGTACCACCGCTCCCGGTAGAACAAACACACCTCTCTTGGGCTCTTTCCTGAATTCAAGTAATCACACCTTGAACATCAACCAGTGCCAAGAAAGAGGTTTTATTTGACTCGGAGGTAGAGAAAGTTTTACTGCAGGGTTTCTAAGCTTTGCTCTCTTTGTTACTTCCTTCCTTTTCTTTCTTTCTTCCTTCTTTCCTTCCTTTCTCTTTTCTTTCTTTTGTTCCTTCTTTCTTTCCCTTGTCCATTCTCCTTTCCTTTATTTTTTCTTCCCTTTTTCCTTTCATTTCTTTATATTCCCCTCTTTGCTTTCTCTGAATTTTTATGTCTCTTTTTTCTTCCGCTTTTAACCCACTTCCAAACCACTTCCTAAAGAACATCTGTATCTCGGGTGAAATTGCTGGAACTATCACATTAAGTTCCAGAGAATTTCTCATTTGGGACCTTGCATATCACACATAGCTCCAAGGGGCTGATGAATTCCTTTTATGTCCTCTTTACTACTAAAGCTTATGGGGAACATCTTATGTCTCTCTTTCTTCTCCCTGCTACATTAAAAATGATCATCTAGCTCTCTGTATGGCCAAAGTGTAATTGAGGTCTTGCTTACTGGTTAGTATTGATTACTATTTATTTGTAACTGGTATAATATTTTACCTACAGAGTACAAATTACAATTTCCAGTATCAGACCACAGAAAGCTTTGGATCACGTAATAAATGCTCGATTTGACAAACATGAATCATGTTCTTTCTTCTCCTCTCCACTTTTAGGCAGAGTTCTTTTGTGTTCTTTTGTAGCCTTGCCTTTGAGTATGACCAGGGCAACAAGTTCAATGCAGCCATCTCAGACTCCCGGAGGAAGGGCTCCCCCCACTCACCAATGTGAGTGACATAACGAGAGCCAAGGACAGCCTGGGGCCATGGGACTGGTACACAGCAGAGACTTCCCTGAGCTTGTTTCCTCTGGAGGCCTGCCCTTGACAATCTTCATAGCAACAAAACAGGTCCGTGAGGAAGGGAGAGAGCAATTAAGGGCTTCCTCTCCTTCCATCGCTAGCAGAGCAACAGGTGTCCTTACTATTATCTTCATTTTTACCCATTTTTCTAGTCAAAAGACATAGGAAGAAAATAAGCATCTTCAGAATAACAAAAATGTATCAGTTAGGATAGGTTCCTCTGCATTTAACAGTAGCCCACGTAAGTGACTTAATGATATACAGATTGATCTTTCCCCACATAAGAGTCTTGAGCTGGGCAGCCCCAGGATGTAATGGAAGATCCACAGTTACTGAAGACCAGATGCTTTTTTCTCTTTCTTTGCCGTCATACTTAATACATGGCTTTCATCCTCAAGGTCACCTCATGGTCCAAGATAGCTGTTGGAATGCCAGCCATCATTTCTGCTTTCCAGGAGGGAACCAGGAAATAGGGGAAGGCAACAAATGTAGCTCTTCCAGCTGAGGCAGCATTTTTGAAGGTTTCTGGAAACCCAACAAACAACTCCTGTTTACAGGAGGCTAGGAAATATGTCTCTGTGTCTAGGCCCATCACCACCCAGAAGAAAATCAGAGCCTGTGAGTGAGGAAGGAGAAATCAATACTGTGTACACATCCAGCAGTCTCTGCTCCAAGCCATGTGCCGGCCCCTGAGCTAAGGACTTTATATACATTGCCCTGCTTCTTCCTCAAAATACCTCCACTAGCCACAGGCCATCTGAGCTACAGAAGTCTCAGGAATTATTAATCCACCAACCCAATTTTATTTTGACTAACATTTGAATAGAGCTTTAGCATTTGTAGAATTTTCCCCCAAATCTCATTTAATTCTCAAAAGCACTCCCTTAAGGTAAATATTATTCTTAACTTGATTTTCCAGTGAAGGAAGCTGAAGTCCAGAAAGATTTAAGAGACTGGCTCAAAGTCACATAGCTAACTAGAGGCAAAACTGGTACTAGTACTCAGATCTCCTGACACCTAGCCCAGCATCTTCCTTCCTTCCTTTCTCCCTTTGTTTCTCCCTTCCTCCCTTCCTTCTTTCCGTCTTTTCTTCCTTCCTTCTTTTCTTCCTTCCTTCTTTCCTTCCTTTTTTCTTCCTCGCTTCTTTCTTTCCTTCCTTCTTGCCTTCCTTCCTTTCTTCCTCTTTCTCTCTTTTTTCTTTCCCTTTCTTTCTTCCCTTCCTTTCTTTTTTCTTAGAGATGAAAGATACAGAAAAGTTCAGAGAATATTATAAATGTCAAACCACTACTCAATTAATAAATTATCATGTTTTTGTCATTTTGCTTTAGAAATTTTTACTATTAGAGAATTACTGAGAAGATTGAAATCCATTTGTACTCCTCGTCAATCACATTCCCCTTCCTCCCCAGAAATAATCAATATCATGAATTTGATGGGTATCTCCTCGGTCCATATTTCTCTTTTAATTTCTCATATGTATTCATAAATAATATAAATGGTTCTTTCTGAAGCTATTTTCACTCAACATTGTTTTTGAACTTAATCTAGATTAATGCATACCGTTCATTCATTCTAATTGCTATGGGATGTTCTATCCATAAATACACAGTACATTTTACTTATCCATTTCTAATTTCCTACTACATGTATTGAGAGCTTATTGTGTGCCAGAAACTATTCTAAAAGCTTTTTATGTGTTATCTGTCATCATAACAAGTCTTTGAGGAAGAGATTGTTATAATCCCTGTTGTATATAAGGAAGAAACTAAAGCAAGACAGAAATAGGAATCAGCCCAAGGTTTCACAGCTCTTAAGCAACAGAGCTAGAATTCTACCCCAAAAGATCTGGATCCAGAATCCATCCCCTTGACTTCCACTCTAAATAACCCAGGCAAATTCAGGCATCCTCACCAGGAGAGCCATTCCTATTATTAAAATATTGCCCCAAACACTCTGCCCCCATTGGGCAGGACCCTGCCCCACTCTGTGACCAGCATATGTTCTGATTGGTTGGTGCCTGTAGCTATTTTATTGCTAAATATTTTGAAAACCACTCCTCTTCTATATTGACTAGACACTTGGGATGTGTCCAGTTCTTCACCTCTACAAACGAGGAGACCTAGGGGTAGAAATGCTGAGTCATACATTATACCTATCAAAGATATTACTAAAAACTACTGGTTGCTCTCGAAAGTTGTCTACATCATGAACTGTAGTAATAAGCCAATGTAAACTCCCATTTCTCACCAATATTTTATGTCATTAACCATTTTGATTTTGCCAGTTTGTTGGATATAAAAGGGTACCTCCTTGCCTTTATTTGCATTTTGCTGATTATTAATAAGGTAGAAAGTTTTTTTAATGTGTTTATTTGCCATTTGGATTTATTCTTGTTTGAATTGTCTTTCTCTGCTCTTTGCTTATTTTTAAAGTGGCTTCTTTTTAATGTATCGTCTCTCTTTTTTTTTAATGCATATATTTCCCTTTTTTCTTTACAGCTTTTATTTTAGGTTCAACAGGTACATGTGCAGGTTTCTTGCATTGGTAAATTGTGTGTCACAGGGGTTTGCCGTACAGATAATTTTGCACCCAGGTAATCAGCATAGGATCCAATAAGTAGTTTTCTAGTCCTCACCCTCCTCCCACCCTCTTCCTTTATATAGATTGGACATTAATCCTTTGCCAATAATACCTGGTACAAATTCTCCCCCTTCCCCATCCTTCCTTTCTTCTGCCATATAGAAATTTTAAATTTTATATAGTCAAATGGATAAATACTTTTCTTTATAGGATGCACTGATTGGTATTTTAAAGAGTTTTCTCATTCTAGAAGCAGTGAAGAAATTCAGTATTTTGTTCTTGTTATTTTATAACTTTCTTTTTTTTTTTTTTTTTTTTTAGTTAATTTTTGTGTAGGATGTAAGGAAGGGATCTAGTTTGAATTTTTTGCATATGGCTAGCCAGCTCTCCCAGCATCATTTATTTTATTTTATTTTTTGAGGGAAAAAGAGAAAAAGAAGGGGAAAAAAAGAAAAAGAGGGAAAAAGGAATATTACTTCATTCCTAAAATGGGTTTCAATAATGGCCGATCAATATTTTGAGTGTTTAAAGTGGTTAATGCATATTTTATTGTTTAAAATGGAGACCTCTATTGTGTTTATTTGTTCTGGCTCTGAGTTCAAGTCCTGGATATCATTATCAATTTTTTGTCTCGTTGAATCTAAATCTCATTATGTGTCTTATGTATCTGGGTATTAAGATCTCTTATTGTTACATTAATCCTTTTACCCTTGCATCCTTGTAGCTTTGAAATCTATTTTATTAAGTGTGAGAATTGCAACTCCTGCTTTTTATTTATTTATTTTTGCTCTCCATTTGGTTGGTGAGTTTTTTTCCATCCCCTTGTTTTGAGTCGTTGTATATCTTTAGATATATCATTAGATTTTGTGAATAATGTATATTTTGTGTGTTTAAAATGGAGAGCTCTATTGAGTTTATTTGTTCTGGATCTTAGTTCCAGTCCCAGGTATCGTTATCGGTTTTCTGTCTCGTTGAATCTAAATCTCATTATGGGTCTTATGTATCTGGGTGTTAAGATCTCTTATTATTACATTAATCCTTTACCCTTGTATCCTTGTAGCTTTGAAATCTATTTTGTCAAATGTGAAAATTGCAACTCCTGCTTTTTATTTATTTATTTTTGCTCTCCATTTGGTTGGTACGTTTTTTTTTTTCCTACCCTTTATTTTGAGTCTATGTATGTCTTTGGATATACCGTTAGATTTTATCTGTATCTTTTGATTGGGAGATTTGGTCGATTTAAATTTAGGGTTGCTGCCGTTTGATATTAACTGGCTATTTTGTCCTTTTGTTGATGAAAATTCTTCTTTATGTTAATACTCTTTACTTTTTGGTATATTTTTAGAAAGGGTCATACTGGTTGTTCCTTTCTGTGTATAATGCTTCTTTTAGAAGTTCTTGTAAAGCAGGCCTGGTGGTAATAAAATCTGAGTACTTGCTTGTTCCTAAAAGATTTTATTTTTCCTTCAAATGTAAAGTTTAAATTGGCAGGATATGAAATTCTGGGCTGAAAGTTCTGTTGATTAAGTATATTGAAATTGGCCCCCACTCTCTTCTATCTTGTAGGGTTTCCGTTGAGAGATCTGCTGTAAGCCTAATAGGCTTCCCTTTATGGGTAACTTGATCTTTCTCTCTGGCTGCCCTTAATATTTTCTCCTTCGTTTCGATCTTGGTGAATCTAACGATTATGTGCCTTGGGGTTGGTCTTCTTGAGGAATATCTTTGTGGTGTTCTCTGTATTGCCTGGGGTTGAATAGTGTCCTGCTTTGCTAAATTAGGAAAATTTTCCTGGATAATGTCCTGGAGAGTATTTTCCAGCTTGAATTCATTCTCTCCGTCACATTCAGGTACACCAATCAAGCGTATATTAGGTCTTTTCACGTAGTCCCATATTGCTTGGAGACTTTGCTCATTCCTTTTTATCCTTTTTTCTCTATTCTTGTCTTGTCGTTTTGTTTCATTAAGTTGGTCTTCGACCTCTGATACCTTTTCTTCTGCTTGATCCATTCGGCTGTTTAAGCTTGTACATATTTCACTAAGTTCTCATGTTGTATTTTTCAACTCCATAAGTTCATTTGTATTCCTCTCTATATTGTCTATTCTTTTCAACATTTCATCTAACCTTTTTTCCAAGTTCTTAGTTTCTTTACATTGGGTTAGAACAAGTTCCTTTAACTCCCAGAAGTTTCTTATCATCCACCTTTTAAAGCCAACTTCAGATAATGGAACACAGTCCTTTTCCATCAGGGCTTGTTCCGTTACTGATGAGTCCTTTTCCATCAGGACTTGTTCTGCTGCCGATGAGTCCTTTTCCATCAGGGCTTGTTCCGTTGCTGACGGGTTCTGATTTTGAGTATACTCGGCCTTCTTAGGCTGTTTTTTCCCCTTCATTGTAGATGAACCGCCTTTCTAATTAGGTTTCTGAGTCGACGTTATTGATTCCCAGTGCTGGGATCCGAGCAACCCACTGTGGCGGCCTAAATAGCAGCGATAAGACTGATGGTGCTCTTCTGCCCGGGAATCTCTGGTCTGGCTTCCCTCTTGAGTCCGCAACAAGCGGCTCTGATTTTCCAGAGCTCCAAACTCCAGTCAGTAGGGGAAGCAGTCCCGTTGGCTCTGCATGAAGAGCTGCTGCGCCGAGACGCTGGCAAAACTGCTGCTGCGGCCACAAGAGTCGCGCTGGCGACCCGTGGGGCTCCTCCACTGGGAATCGGCTGATCGGTGAGTGACGAAAATTCGTCTAAAGATGTGGTGTCATCGTCTCGTTCTCTGAGCTTTCACTGAGAGCTACAATCCTGAGCTGTTAGTGGTCGGCCATCTTCAGCATCATTTTTCATAACTTTGTTTCTTATGTTTATTTTTGTGTGTGGTATGAGGAAGGAATCCAATAATTTCTTTCTCCCTGGAAATTGTTCTAATGTCATTAATTTACCATTAATTTAGTATGTTATCTTTTCCCCACTGATTTTTAGTATCACTTTTGACATACATGTCTAAGTAACATGTGTACTGGTCTGTTTCTCAGTCTTCTGTGCTATTTCATCAATTTATTTTCTCTTCTCGGTTTTCTTTCAGTTTAATTCTCTGCTTTAAACAGTGTGTGCTAGAGCCTGATGCCTTCTATCTACTCATGTGACTCCTATTGTCCTGATGCTGCACACAAGCCTAAAAGTTTAAGTGTCTGACAGTTCTTCAGGAAGGTAAGCTAGAAGGCATATGGTCTCTTCGATTTCCACACTGGAGATTCCACTTGCATAACTGAGAGATCTACCTGTTTACAGTGCATTCCTCTGAAGTAGAAGGAAGAATACATTCTAAAGGGAGTAAGAAAACATGAGTCCCGGGTTCTGCATCCACACAGATATCCCCACTGCTGACAGCCATTCTCTGACATCCAAGTAAATGTCAATGACAGCACATTATTCATAACTATCATTCTTATTAATTTAAATTGACCAAGATAACACAGGTATACAAAAAAGATAGAAAAAAAAATCCGTTCCAGAGCTTAGACAATAAAGCAAGTTTTAAAATCACATTGCTTTTTGGAAATGATCATATTCATACTATATAATGATCTGTACTCTATAGTACTTTACAGCATTTGAGTATCTGTACCTATCCAAGGTTTAGAGTCTGGCTCTGAGAAAAGGCCCCATCAGCACAGTTTTATACACTATAGGTAGAGAACGTGAGGGTTGATCAGTGCCCTGCTTATAACACCCTGAAATGAACCAGGGTACAAAAGAAATAGATCCCAGCCTGGTGTGGTGGCTCACACCTATAATCCAGGCACTTTGGGAGATCAAGACAGGCAGATCACTTGAGCCCAGGAGTTCCAGACCAGCCTGGGTAACATAGAGAAACCATCTCTACAAAAAATATACACAGACAAAATTAACTGGTTGTGGTGTTGTACACCTGTAGTCCCAGCTACTAGGGAGGCTGAAATGGGAGGATCACCAAAGCCCAGGAGGTCAATGCTGCAGTGAGCCATGATCACGCCACTGCCTCCAGCCTGAGTGAAAGAGTGAGACCTTATCTCAAAAAATAAATAAATAAAAAGAAAGAAAATCAGATCCTTCACAGCAGTCCTGAGTTTGACTATAGCAGTTACCTCTCCTCTGCCTGAGTATAGACTCAGCCCAGAGAACAGTGGGGATGAGGTGGTCTAGGAACCAGAATCTCAAAGAGCCCAGCTTTTGACCCTCACCCCCAACCCAACCATAATGGTTAGAAATATGAGTCACTCTTCTTTGACAATATTAAGAAGATCCTAGGCAGTCCTGACAAAGTGCTTTTCAGCTCAAACCACCAGCGTTATTTTTCCTATTCTGTAAATCGTAAAGCACCTGATCTGTAGAATTTTTAAACTCTTGAGAAAGACTCCTGCATGGCAGCTTCAAGAATATGCCATAGTTTAATCAGAAGACTGTTTTCAATATTAGGATGTATTTTTCCACAGACAATTTGACTCCCAGTAGTGGAATGTGGGGGTGGAGGAGTGGGGAGGAGTAATTTCTAAAACACCTTGACTCTGTGGCTTTGCTGGTTTGTATAAAATGTGGTTATCGAAATACTGACTGCACAGAGCCACAATGACAAACGCATATCTTTTTACTCCAATCTCTTTGCTCTCTTTCCCCTGTCTTTTTCCAAATGAAATTTTACATAAGGAAGATCATTTTTGTTAACTCAAGAGACATAAGGCTATTTCTGATTTGCAGCATCTAATTTCCACAATTAAAATTATATCATGCTCAGATCCAATTTGAATAAAAAGGCAATCAACTGTAAATTTATTTTTTAAAGGATATTTATTTTTTAAAATGTATTTCTTTCCTGCGGTAGAGCTGGCATGATTTTTCTGGTCTTCACCAAGCAAAACAATTGTTTTTTTAAAAAAAAGGAGAATAATACAGACTACTCATTCATTCAAAACAAGAAGTTTTGAACAGGATGAAAAGAGAATTCCACAGCTCCTTACTTAAAACCATATTGGAAACTCCCTGTGACATTGTCCTCTGGGTTCATATCTAAGGATCAAATTTTAGGTGAAGTTGGGTTTTAGCAAGATTCACCCAATTCTTCCAGTAATAAACCATGTTGGACAGGGTCCAAGACTAAAATGCCATGTATTGTATTATGCATCATAGCAAGTCACGTTTATGCAGGGCCTTGGTATGACTTGCAATTGTTTACCAATTTTTAATTCTTTTTATTCTGTTTCTTAACCTGTGGACTTGACTGGCATGCTTACCTCAATTGCTGTTTTTTTTTTTGCTTTGTTGTGGTTGTGTTTTAATGAAAACTCTTCTTCCTGAAAGACGTCCAGCTCCACGCCAGATCAATGGAATCTGTAGGGTTTCTTTCTGCAATATAAAACAAAAGCTTGGATTCAACTAGCCAACAAATACATTTGTTTTGTTAAATGAGGCTTTCCTCAAATGTCACTCATTCATTTGGCAAGTATTTACTGAGCACCTCTTAGGCTCTGGGCATTGTGCATGTCTGTGAATACAATAGTGAATGAAACAGACATAGGGGCCCTGACTGCTTGATGGCTGAAATACAATGGGGAAGACTGCAACAAGCAAATATCTAATTACATATTATATTAAGTAGAGGGAGGAAAAAAATAGGATACTGTGATAGAGAATAATGCAGAGGGCTGCTACTTAGAATAGTTGAGGAAGGCTTCCTAGAAGTCTTTTAAGCCAAGTCCTAATTGATGAGGGGGACCCAACCATTGAAAGAGAGGAGGGGAGTATGTCAGTAGAATAGCAGATGTGAGGGTCTGGCAAAGGGCATAACCCATCAACGGTCACCATCTTTGCCTTTCTACCCCCTGGCCAGCTTCACAGGGCAAGTCCAGTCCTTTTCCCCTAAGAAGCATTCCTGCCCATCCACACATGGTCCTCTCTTCCACGACCTCCTCCAGCATTTCATCGGTTCCCCATGACTTACCACTGAGCCATATGCTGGGTTGTATTGTTTTTAGATGGTTCCTGTGGTTAAACCTGTCTCTTTCACAAGTTTTGCAAACCCACTGAGGACAGAGGGCATGTGCCTCTTTTGCACCCCATCCCATGTCTGCTGCAGCGCTGGAGCGAAACTGACGTGGGCGGCATTGAAATGAATGGAAGACGGCAGGCCTAGTGGGGCAGGTGAACGGCCATGGCTAAGCCTCTTTTCTATCTGCATCTGCTCACATTAGATGAAATGCAAATAGATAGGCCTCATCTCTCTGTGTTCTACTTAGCATTTATATGACACCTTTCAGCACAGAGAAATGAGTAAGTGGAACCAGAAGTGGCTGTTCCATGTGCTCATCCCCAGCTTGGCTGTGGCCAGGCATCTGGTCCCCACCTGCCCCCACACCCCTCCTCCCAGAAGGGCAGCTGCGGGCCCCACCACTTCACTTTCAGCACAGCCCTTCCCATGGAGCTGCACGCTGTTGAAAGAACGCATTGTCTGTGCTAAAGGGAGAACGAGGGTAGCACATTGCAAATCTGAGCTGTTTCGTGATAGATGAGCAATGAAAAGCATCCTGACATCATTAAGGTGTCCCAGAACATGCTGTCTGCTCCAGCCTCACCCACATGCAACTGTGTGAAGACAGAATTGCCTGCATGATGACCAAAGCCTGGCTTCAGAGTCAGCAAATCGAGTCATCCCAAGCCCATGGGGTTTTTCTAGATTCTGCCAGTTGGGGACACAGGCATTTCATAGAAATGGCCTGACTCACATCTGCAAATGGTCTTAGAGGGTAGGGCTGTCTTCAACCATATGAAAATAGACTTGCCTTTTCACTGCTCAAAGTATTCCCAGAATGTGAAGCTGTCCTTTAGCACTACCTCCTGCCCCACATGCTGGAAGCCCTCCCCCAAGCTCCAGGGCATCCACATCTTGCCAGGCCCCTCGGTAGAACCCACAGCACAACCTCCTGGCTTTTCCAGGGTCCGGCACTGACAGGGAGTTGGGGACAGACCACCTGCTGTGTGACAGAACAGCTTATCTGACATTTATGGAATGAGATTTGTCAGGGTCAGAAAGGGCAACGCTTTAAAATTTTTTAAAGAGCATCTTAACCTTTGGCATGCTGCCTGGGGAACTCAAAGCAACCTCTTATTCTTCCTTACTGATATTGTGGAATTTCAAGTTTCTAGCAAAGAACTTGAGTATTAGTCAGCAAAAGCAGTGGAGTGGCTAGATTTATTCCTCATGGCTCAATTACCCCTAATTTGCTTACAGGGACCCCAGTGGTCACTGGGGTAGAAGAGGATATGTCACTCTACAACATAACATACAGGACAATAGCCTGGGTTCTGTCCTCATGGCAGCAAGCTCATTTTCCCTCCTGTTTCATAGTGAGAGTCATTGTTTATTGAGAGGGCAGGATGTGTAGTGATTGGAACATGCACTTCCGAGTCAGATGACATGGGTACAACTCCTGGTTCTGTCTCTTAGTAGCTGTGTGATCTTGAGCAAATCACGTAGCATCTCAGTTTCCCCATTTGTAAACCAGAGGGAAATAATAGCTCTGTCAATAAAATACGATGAGGTTCAAATGATGGCAAAGGAAAGTCCTCAATACAGTGTCTGGCACATAAAGGGGTGTAGTAAGTACTCAATGCTCATTGCAGACCTGCTTACTGTGTCACACACTGAATTATATGCTTTGTTTAATTCTGTAATTTAACCCTACAACAACTCTCAAAGGCAGGGCCTATGCTTATCATCACTATGCTATGCTACTCACCTTGTTGCCCTACGAGAAATATTTCCATGTCAGTGGCCATTCCTGCCTGCAATTTTCCCTTGACAAATTGCTCCAGGATGGGTACTTCCTAAGGGGAAGCTTTCTCCATTAGCGAGACAGGAGGGGAAATGGAGGGGCAAACCTTGACCCACCATTACCAAGAAATCAACTGTGGAAGTGAGTCATCTATCTCTCGTCACTGGGCTGGACTTGGTGATTAATGGGAGACATTTAAGATTAATATACTTTCTTGTTTAAGTTTTGAAAATTAAAGATCTTAGAAATGTGAGCCCAGAAAATAAAGAAAAAATAAGGAGGTAGAACAATATTTTCTTTCTAGTTACCTGCTTTCAAGAACTCAATCCCTTTATGTCAGCCTTTAGAGAATTGCTTGTCCCCAGCCAGGTCACCTTGCTTTCCTTTTCTCCCTCCGTCCAAAAGGACGTTAGTTCCAGCCAAAGTGCTTATCATAGATCCTTAGCACAAACAGTTTCCAAGTTACCAAATGGGACAGTGGAACAATTGATTGTACTGGCACAGGACAACGGTAGGAGATAAGAGAGTAACATGTGGGCCCAAACAGCTTTTGTTGCTGGGTTTTTTGTTTGATTTTGGGTTTTTGGTTTTTTTCAAAGCATGAGTGCACAGGCTGTGCTGGCCCTTGAGATTCTTGAGAAAGAAAAGATGTCTCAGCTAGAGTCTTATTGAGGCCAAGTTTCCAGGAGCTCAGGCCCAACCCTGTCACCTTCACAGAGCTGACACTGCCTCATCCTGAAGTGGGCTCTCAGACCCAGCCATCGAGAGCTACCTTTTGGCCCCAAATGTCACCACCAGAGTTAGGCCATTTAAATGAGAATGGCTGGCATTTATTGATCACTTTCTACCGTGATAAAAGTGATTTTCAGGCTTCCGTTTAGATCTCAAAACAGATGCATTTTAAAGCAACATATTTTCTGATTTCTAGGAATAAGAAGGCAGAAGCCAAGAGATCTTGAGAGCCTGATCTATAACTGCACAGCTGGTCAGTGGTAGGGCTAGAATTTGAGCCCAGGCCTGTGTCTTTGACCCATTGCCTGAGAATAAGAGGAGAGAAAAGGAAAGTACAGGAAGTGGAGAAAAGGATGAAGACAAAAGAAGGTATGAAATGAGACCTAAAGTCAACCCCCAATATTATATGCTGCCTTGACATCTAGCAAAATACGGTAGGCCACAAGCAGCCTAGATCCAAGTTCCCCTCCTCACTCTGCTCCCAAGGATAAGGTTTTCTAGCCAAACAACATTCTTTATCAAAGAGGTCAGGTAGGGCTGGGCACGGTGGCATGCACCTGTAGTCCCATCTACTCAGAGGCTGAGATGGTAGGATCACTTGAGCCCAGGAGTTCAAGGCTGCAGTGAGCTATATGAGCTGTGATTGCACCACTGCACTCCAGCCTGAGTGACATTGTCTTTAAAAAAAAAAAAGAGGCCAGGCATGGTGGCTCACACCTGTAATCCCAGCACTTTGGGAGGCTGGGCAGATCACCTGAGGTCAGGAGTTCAAGACCAGCCTGGCCAACATGGCAAAACCCTGTCTCTACTAAAAATACAAAAATTAGCCAGGCGTGGTGGCAGCCACCTGTAATCCCAGCCACTCCGGTGGGGCAGGAGAATCACTTGAACCTGGGAGGTGGAGGTTGCAGTGAGATAAGATCTGACCATTGCACTGTAGCCAGGGCAACAAGAGCAAGACTCTGAAAGAAAGAAAGGGGGGAGGGAGGAGGAGAGAGAGAGGGAGGGAGGGAAGGAGGGAGAGAGAGAGGAAGGGGAAGGGGAAGGGGAAGGGGAAGGGGAAGGGGAAGGGGAAAGGGAAGGGGGAAAGGAAAGAAACAACAAAAGAAAAGGACAAAAAAGCAGCAGCCAGGTACAGTTCCTGCTTACCTCTAGTAGGTTTCAGTTCCCTACCAGACCAAAGAATTATTCAAACAAGGTAACCACATTCTCCCTCACAAACCAGGGACACACCACTCTCCTGATATTGCAAACTCTGTTTGTTCCCTCTGTTCCCAAGTGCAGCAGCCACGTGGTCTTGCACAGCACGAGATGTCCTCCTCACTGGGCTTTGAGTGGACGTATGTACAAATAAACCGCTGTCTGTTCCATCTGTCCAGTGTCAGGTATCGTGTCTCATTCAGCCATGCCTACATCCCTAGGATGGGAATCCTTCCCTCTTCAAGAGGAGGTGATCAAAACAGAAGAAAAGTAGTTAAAGAGGACTGGATGAAGGATGAACCTGAGGTGACCCACCTGCAGATTCAGCCACAGGGTCTCCCACATGGGTCCAGAGGCTGTGATGCTGTGGTTAAGAGAGCAGATCTGGAGACAGCCTGGATTTAAATCATTTCTCTACCACCTTCAGGCAAGTTACTTAACCCCTCTGGGCCTTCATCCCTCATCTGTAATGTAGGAATGGATGCTAGCAACCATCCATTTTTGTAAGAATTTAAAAAATAATCCATGTATCGGCCCATTGGAGAAGGCCTAGTGCTTAGCAAAGGCCAGTTGTCATTAATATCCTAAACCTTCATGCTCTGGGATCACTTTTCCTCCGGAATCTACCGGAGAACCCATATTTCCTTTGCTCCACTGGCCCAGCCAGCTCATCTTTGTGTTTCTGCAGCATTATTTGTGGAGTTATTGACTGCAGTATTCCTTTAAAACATCTCTACATTGTGTGCACCAACTTAAGTCAACTATGGAAGAACCTAGTCCTTCTATGCTGCCCAACGCAGAGCACCAGTTTTAAGCACTCCAAAACTGCCACAGCCTTCACATGAGAAGGACAATGGAGTTTTCCAAGTGGATAGACATCAACAATGTTTGAATACTTATTCACCAATGAGAGCTCACATTTATTTAGTGTTTATTATGTGGCAGGCACTATTACAAGCATTTATGTGCATTCACTCATTTTATTTTCACAGCAATAGAGTTGAAGTAATTGCCCTAATTCTGCAGATGAGGAAATGGAGGCACACAGAGGTTCACCAATTAACTCAAGATTCAGAAATTCTGTTTAACGGGTCTAGGGAAAGGGCCCAGGCAGTGGTCTATTTTTAAAGTACCCTCAGTAGTTCTCAGGTGCTGTCGGGGTCAAAAACGCTTGCCCGAGCCAGCATGCTGATCCTGTGATCCTCCATACATCACATCACGCCTTGCATCGTGAGCTGTTTCCTCCAAGTGTCTTATGTCACCGGTTACATCATAAATCCCAGGAGTGAAACAGATGAACAGAAACAATGTCTCCTACTAATCTGGAATCTATTCCTTCAGTACTGACACCACTGGGTTTGTCCAGAGTAGACACTCAGTATACTTGACATCCACACACTTGAATTGTGCACAGTGACTGGGAACGTCTGCCATTCAAGGCAGGCACTATTTTAGGTGACTTACACCAGCTATTTCCTTTATTCTAAGAAGAAGATGTTACTCTTATTATTTCCATTTTATAGATGGAGAAACAAAGGCACAAATTGTTTATGGACACACAACTGGTAAATGGCAGAGCTCTGAGTTGACCAATGTGGCTCCAGAGCATGACCTAATCCAATATGGTAGAGTGGGAGGTGAGGGGAAGCGGGGAGGAAAAACCACAAAGAGGAAGACAAAGTCAACTCGAGAATTCCACGTTGTTTCATACAGCATCCGTTTGGTAGGACTACTGTAATGAAGTATCATAGACAGGGTGGGTAAACAACAGAAATTTATTATCTCACCGTCCTGAAAGCTAGAAGTCTTCAGGGGACAAGAAATATCTTTTCTTCCCCTCTTGGATTCATGACTGTGGCCCCTATAACAAAAGACAGATTTACAGGAGAAAAGCATGGCAAATTCATTTAATATAAGTTTTTCACAGCATAAGAAGCATTTCCTTTGGAAATGAAGACGCAAAGCTGAAAAACATCTGTAGTGTTATCCTAAGTTTGGTGAAGAAGTGATAATTGTGGAGAAGTGTGATTGGGCAAAGGAGGTGTGACCTAATGGTAATAAATGGGGGTAAATTTAACACAGTCTGTTTGTTCAGATTTTTCTGTGTCCCCGTGCTCAGAGATAAGGATGTTCCTTTCCTCCAGCTATAGGGAGGGTACCTCTCACATGAGAATCTTATGACCTGCTGCAGAAAAAGGTCAGAAAATGTGTTCTAGGTTTTATGACCTACTTCTGGAGAGATGGGCTAAGGGAAGGCGACAGTGGGCTTCCTGCTTTAGCTGTTTTCTCAACTGCCAAGTGTCATATTTGATGTTCAAAGATGTGTGCCATCTTTGACTTTCCTTAGCACATAGAAGCATCTCCCCAGCCCCTGCCTTTGTCTTCCACATGGTGTTCTCCCTGTGTGGGTTTGTCCCCAAATTTCCCCTTTTCATAAGAACACCAGTCATACTGGATTAGAGCCCACCCTAGAGACCTCATTTTAATTTGACCTGTAAAGACCTTCTCTCCAAATACATCACATTCTGAGGTAGTGGGGCTAGGACTTCAACATAAGGATTTTGGGAAAACACAATTCATCCCTCCACAGAAGTCAAGGGTCACGTGGTGTGTAGGTTAATAAGCCAGTGCTTGGGAGTGTTAGGAAAACACTCCCAAGACTTGAGGCTGCCTAGAGAACAGCCCCAATGAGTTTAGATGAGGGTGGGTCCAACTTCAGCAGAGGCCAGGGCAGCAAGGACCACGCTCAGGTTTCCGCTGGCACTGGGCATGAGTGGTCACCGAATGGCTCCCCTCTTTTCCTGGTAATGTCTGGGTCCTTGGCTTGCACAACTCTCTCATCAATGAAAACCAATAAGCTGAAAGAAAAACTAAACAACAACAAAATAAACCACAGGCACACAAAAGAGTAACCTTAAGTTGTCTGTAAAAAAACCTCAAGAAATGCCAAGAAGTACTGAGTCAGGAAATTCTCCCTTAATAGCTTTTGTTGGAAACATTTAACATTTCTACTTTATCTCTTCTTTTCTTTCAGACCACTCCTCAGAGGCAATCAAGTGCAACAATACCATCATTCAGAACTTTTGGTTCCCAGAGGACTCACTCCCAGCCTCAGCCAACATACACCCTTATAATATCAGAGCAGCTTAAACTCCCCTAGAGTGGATTTCCTCTGGCCCTTCAGAGTTGAGGGAGAGGAGGATTACATATCTGATACACCAGTTTTGTTGCCATTTGGCCACTACAAGAAAGCACTGGGTTGATTGTATCCCCTAGGTAGTGACTGATGAGAGGACCCATCCCCAAAACTAAGGTTTCAAGTCTGGCAATGGCCATGAAATATCAAAGAGCCTATAAGGGGCCTTTTGATGCCACCCAATGGTAACCCTCATATCCCAGGACAAGAGTTCAGTTAAAGACTGGACCACTGGACCTTCGCAGGACAAGAATACAGCTAAGAAAGGACCACAGCACCATCTCAGCTGTCCTCATACCTCAGTCTTCCACTTGGAATTCCAGGTCACTCTGTGTCACAGCCTCCTTGTGCCAATTGCTACCCCATGAGGCTGGGCTCCCTAAACACCCTCACTGTTTCTTTATTCTGCACCAAACGCATAAACAGGGAGGCAGAGGAAGGATGTGGTAGGGTGGGGCAGGCAGGGGGAGTGTGCACAGAGCATGCGAGTGATGCAATGTGGTGTGGCCAAGTTGATTCCCGGCCTAATTACTATGTACTCTACCTTCATGAAACACCATCTTTCTGGTCAGAAAAGTGAAGAGATACTTTTCAATGGAGAGCAACAAATAGCAAGAAAAATAGAGGTACATTCCTTTCCCCACCACTCCCAACCCCAAAGGCACAACTTACTCCTAAAAAGGGGTTTCATGAACTTCCAGGTTGGCATTCAGAGAGCCTCAGCCTGGCAAAGTCCATCCTTCCCAAGACTCAGGAAGAATCAATGAGCCCATTGTTCTCAAGCTTGTGCTGAGAAATAATATGTACAAAACAAAACAGAGCCAGTGCCAGAGGTGCTCTTTGGCCACACAATCATTATACTAGGAATAGATAATGCATCAATATACATTGACTGGGCAATGACATACTAATTGTTGCAAACAACACGAGTGAAGGGATAGGCCGAGCCAATGACATTTGCCCCTTTCAGCATGAGCAGAAGGCTTCACTGGAGACATGGCAGAAAGGGCAGGGCTCACCCTCCAGACCAAGACTCCTAAGCACAGGGGGGCAGCAGCCACCAACAAAGGAGCCACACCGGAGGGGCTGAGAAATGTGTCACGAGCCTCACTCCCGTGAGTTTCACATTTCTCATTGTGAACCATATTAATACATTTATTGCTTGGAAGAGGAAGGGGAGGGAACAGAATTGCTGAGCATCTGTCCACATGCACTTCCTCACTCACTGTGATCTTCCTAAGTCCCTGAGTAGATACCATCATTTTCATCCTCCAGAAGAGACTAAGAGGAGGTAAGTTGCTGAGAAATGCTGAGTGTATGATTAAATTTACTGTTTCAAAGAAGAACGATGGCAAGGAAAACCTAGCCGCCCCCCTCTCAAGTGGAAAACTGCTGGGGCATTCTAAAGTAGCAAAACAGTATACATATATCATACACCAGTTAGAACAATTCTTAAAGCATAGGCTATATGGCCCTAACCCCGTGGCTCCCTCGTGGAGAATACTTTCTAGTTTGTCCTTGATCAGTGGTAAGCAGGCACCAGCTGCCTACCTAGTTTATTTTTGTTCTATAAGAAAACACTGAACACCTGTTTGTTAATAATAATCACCTGTTCAGAGAGACTACATGGGTTAGAGTTTGTTTGAGGCCTTCAATCCGGAATGCTGTCGGCCCCTGAGATTCAGCTCAGAAGACTGTTGCCTCCCCCCGCGAGTAGTCCCACTTTGCTGTTCTATCTGGGTGTCTGCTTCTTAATTCCTTCAGCCCTGCCTGGGTGGGGGTCTCTATGGCCAAGCTGGTGTCAGTAGTAAGTGATTCCTACCTAATGACCTGTTATCAAATCAACACTCATTTTTCTTGCAAAAAGATGTTCCAGTCTGAATGAAGGCCAAGGAAGCACATAGCAAGCTTGGTGTTAGGTTTTGTGAGCACAGAATCTTTGACAGTATAACCAGATTAACGAACTTGTTAGGGAACAAAAGGAAACAGGTTTATCCTTCCCCATCCCACACTCTGTGAGATTTCACCCCCAGCCCCAGGCCTCTCCAATGTTTTGGCTTCACTCCATAGCTTTCTGGGCTGCTTCCCACTTATAAGACCAGGCCTCCTTTTGGTAGTTAAGAGGCTTTCGGGTATTCACAAGTCTCATCCAAGTGAATACTTCTCTCTCGCTCCATGTTGAAGCTTCCTTCTTCCTGAAGCTGAAACCTGATTCTGCTTGCTCAGAAGTGGGAAGGAGGAATGGTGATTAGTAAGAAGAAGGGGACGAAAGCTCCACATGCCTTGCCCTCCCAGGAAGCCCTCTCACCCTAAGACACTCAGACGTTCATTTGATTGCATCCCCTAGGTGGTGACTGCTGAGAAGACACATCCCCATCTCTGTCAGTGGCCAATAAATACCAAGGACCTTCTATAAGGGGCCTTTCAGTGCCACCCGATGGCAACTCTCACTTCCCAGGAGAAGAGTTCAGTTTAAGACTGGACCACTGGACCTGACACATAGGAAGCTTACACCCCAGCTAGTCCCAAGTTCAGAGTGCACCAGGCAAGCTCCAGGCTTAGGTTTACATCTATCCCCAAACTCTCAAGGATATGTGCAAACCTCTCCCGAGGTGGTGGGTGAACCCCAGCCGTTCTGTAGCTCGCGGCCAGCCAGCCAGAGAGCAGAAGGCAGCTTCCCCTCTTGCAGGTCCCCCTTGCACTTCAAGAGCCAGTGAAGGCAAGAGCCAAATGGAGACCCACTTGCCAAATACTGAAATCTTTAAAAGTTACAAGTCAAGTCAAAATTACTATTCAATAAGTTCTCACTGTCCGCCTTAACAAATATAGCTCCTCGATGGCCTGAAAGATCATTTTGCATTTAGAATGTTCAGTCTCCTTGGCATTTGAATCTGAGACTTTCCTCCCACCCTCAGACCCTGTCAATGGCCAACAAGCTGCTCTGCTTCTCTTCCCACCCCCAACTCCTTTTCACACCTTAAGGGCAGTGAGCCACCCAGACAGACTGTACATCCAAGATCCACCCACATCCTTCCCAAACTGCCGCCCGGGGCTGAGCACAGGCCACCTTGCGGGGAAAGGACCCCAAACAGATCGGAACAGGCCCTGGAAAGGGACATATTCTGAAGGCCTGGACATTTGGAACGTGATGGGGAGGCAGAGGCATGGAGGACACATCCCCTTAATCCCACAGGCTCCTGCTCCATGGGGAGGAGTGTGCTGAGGAATTCCAGAGAGGGCTTCCCTCCCAGGGACAGGGCACAGCAGGGACCACACCCAAGGTCAGTTCTGATGAGGGTTCTTCTCGGCCATCCTTCACCTGCCTGAAGGGGGCACCATGGGAAGGGGAGGGCAAATACCATAGCCCCATCGCCAGAAGCCCTCAGCTCACTACCCAGTGATTCCCCTTGCTATGAGTGTGTGTCTCCTGCTAACGTGGACTTCACGGGATAGTGGGCAGGGTGAGGGGCAAAGGGCCTTGTTTGGCCTCCCTCTGGAGGGACTGCTTTCTTTACAATATGCAGACACTGCCCACTCTCCTCTGCTCTGGGGCTTCAGGCAAAATCCAGAGACCTCCATTTCCCTCGGGGGACAGAATGGACACAGAGTCCTAACACGACAGGGATTTCAGTTAGGTAGGAGTGTTTCACACACCCACATTTTAACACTGTGAGGAGGGAGAGAGCGAGTGTGTGTCACATATGGGCAACTTTAAAACCAGGCACTATCGTGCGACAAGACTAAACTTAGGGAATCGTGTCTGCAGTGACACGGGGAGAAGACCCCAGATCCCAGCTGGGGAAGCTCCATGAACACTTTGGAAGAGAATGTCCGTCTGGATCCACTTTCACACTCACAGAATCCTCCTCTTTCACAAACGTGGCCATTTTGTGAAATGGCTTGGACTTGGACAGCACAAGGCCCTCCAATGCCCCGATGGCCGGAGGCCACTTCCCTCACACCACTGAACTACTTCTGGCTTGGCAGCAGCTTCTGTCCCCACCCAGAGTGCCTTCCTTTCGTCTTAGCAGTAGTGAGGCGTGAGGCGGCCCTGTCACCTGCCAGGCACCCAGCCTCTCCTGCCGCCACTCGGCATGGCGGGGACCACCTGGCCTGCGGCTGTGAGTGGGCTAAGCCCTGCTCTGGTCTCTGGCCAGGAGGGATTTGAGAAACTTAGGTCTTAGGCATCAACACAGAGGAGTACATAGAGAAAACAGGACCTAATTTGGAATTGGAGGCTCTGAATTTAAGTTCTGCTTCAGCTACTTCTTGGCTGTAAGCTTTTTAGACACCAGTGAATTTTCTGGGCTTTATCTGGAAATTGGAGTTTCTTCATCTGGAAATTGAAGACATTAAGAACACTTGCTTTCCTACCTCAGTGAGGAATTGAACTACTATGGGTGTCATTTGGAAGCTGTGAATTCTCTCTTGTTAGAGTTATGAGTCCTGGCTTTGAACAGGAACACTGTGGTCTTTGTTTATGGTTTATTAATGTTGGGTCTCTTAGAACCATGGCTCCGCCTACACTGGCAGGCCAAATAGTAACAGTAATGGCAACAACAACCCCTTGTAGAAGAAAATGTCTCTAAGAATAAAATCAGAACAGCTCAACATTTGTTGAGAAGCTTCTCTGTGCTAGAACTAGGCTGTGTGCTCAGAATCGCATCACTCAGTGCTTAACTACACCTCATGAGAGACATTGTCACACCTGGTGTCTGTCTCTGCACAACAGCCCGATGCATGGCTGGAGCCGGGGTATCTGAATACTAATACATTCCACCTCCCATGGGGATACCCTGCACTCTCATGTGGAACCTTCTCAATGTTAGCCAACTGGACCCTCTTGAATTTTTACATACTCTCAAGATGCCCTGTTGGATGGGGCTTTCTCCAAACATAAACAAGCACCAGGGTCTGACCTTTGGTTTACTCATCCCAGTGCAGCCCAGGTGTTCACACCTGCTCCCAGTGATCCCAGCACCACCTGAGCCATAAGAACTGGGTTCCCCATGGTTCCAATTATTGCTGAATAACAAATCATGGTAATCACCATTAGGCTGGCCACTACCAGCCTAGTGGTAGTAGCTTCAAACCACAACAATCATTTTATTATCTTTCATATTTTGTTTGGATCATGAATTTGGGAAGCTCAACTGGCTGGCTGTAGCTTTGGGGTCTGTCAGGCAGTTGCAGGCAGTTGGTGGTGGGAGCTGAAACAGTGGAGAAGCTGACAAGCTGGGGACTGGCCAGGTATCTCCTTCATGAAGTCTCAGGGCTTCTCCATGTGGTTGTTCCACATGGACTAGTTGGGCTTCCTCCCAGCATGGCAGTCTCAGGGCAGTCAGGATGCATACATGAATCTCAGGGCTCTGGCATGAACATTCCAGTGAGTAAGGTAGAAACCATGGTACCATTTCTGACCCAATCTAGGAGATATATAGCATAACTTCTTCCACAGTCACAAACATGTCAACAAGCAAAGGGAGAAAACAGACTCCACCTCTCCATGAGAGGAGTGTTTAAGTTACAGTGTAAAATAAGCATGTGAGATGGAAGATACTGCAGCCATCTTTGGAAAGTACGAGCCTTCATAGCTACTGGAGAAAAGGGTCTACTGGAAAATAAGCCAGACTCATCCTCTAGATGCCACAAAAGCATCTGG